TGCAAATACAATTTCTTATATCAGACGCTCCTGATGTTTTTTTAGCACCAGAATTGTAACAACCAATCTTAAGATATTTATTTCAGGTTAGCTTGAAGTGTCTTAGTAAAGGACACTCAAACTTCTTGCTATTGGAGTGGCTACAAACTCAATGCCTCTGAATTAAGGATTGAGGCCATAATCATTTTTCTACCCCCTACGGGTTCCTGAAGTAATATTCTCCTACCAACACAGGAAAACTTCCTCAAACATTTGTAGTATTTATTAAGAGATTTGGGGGAGGGAGGGTTGTTCACTCCACAGCAAGCACACAAGATAACTTGTTTCAGTCTTTCAAAGCTAGTCTTGTTGAAGACAGAAGTTCAGAATACCCCTTTTTGGTTGAATCTTTGAAAGGCACCACAGAATTGGTAAGCCAACAAGAATTAATCAGTTAGTATCCTTGTTCTCCTGGATGGGAGCAAGAAGCAGCATTTTCTCCATTGGAATTACTGTAGCAGAACTAACCACCGAAAGCAAGCTGAAGAACACCGTCAGAAATAGGTGACACTCAAAGGCATGGATTTAAAATCCTTCTTCATCTCAGACACCAAAGCAAATTCAAGCAGAGCTGATCCCTAGTTTCCAATAGTTCATTAAGAAGCAACAAATAACATGACCCTACACAAGACAAAAAGTAATCTAATCCCCCACAGTTTTCAGTTTGAAAGTAGGCTCACTCTATGAAGATGTCTCTGAATAGAAGTTATGTCCTTCTGATCTTATTGAGATGTTTACAACACTATTCTGCATTGCCTTTGTATCCTCCATGCATTGGTTTACTCCTACTGCCAAAGGTATATTTGACTTGCCCAGAAACACAGATGCAAGAATCACTCCTCTGACCTCAGGATATGTTACAGAATTAAGGGGTGGAGGGGAGGTGAGAGAAAACAAAAAAACAAACAAAAAAAAGGCTCCCGGGGAACATTCCAAGAGTTAAAACAGAGAAGCACTTAACCCCACAGAAATATTCAGATGAGTTTTCTCCTAAAAAGAAGAAAGAACAACAAACCAATAAGCTAATCACTGGAATATATCAAAACAGACTTAACAGCAGGATAGGAGAATGTTTTGTAAATCAACCATACTGAATTTTCGCCACCAGGGCTTCATGTTTTGTTAATGGTAGCAAAACACAAAACAAAATCCTTGACAGTTGAATTAACACTTTCTGTCCAGAGTTAGGCTGGATAACAGGTCTACCAATGTAACTCATCAACGCAGTCAAATCTTAACAAACGTCAGAGCACCAATTTAGCCAAAGATAACTTTTTGTCCAAATGTCTTCTTGTTCCTGTCAGATAATTAAGATACTACTTGAAACTTTAAAGTAGATACAATTTTAAATCGTATGTGATCAGTTAGGAGATATAGGATGCTACATACCAAAACAGCAAGATTTCTCATGGTATTAAGGTTGTTGAATGTTAAGACTCCTGAAGAGGAGAAGAAATCATTCCAATCTGGTCTTTTGCCTTCTTGCAACTGCTTTTGCTAAGTTAAAGTACATTTCCTGAAAGATTTTGTCTCTTCTCTAACTCTCCATCAGCTTTCCTTTTATCCAAAAGAGAGAGTGGAAGAAAATGTCCCCCAGAAGACAAAAGCCTGCCTTTGGGTGAAAACGGCAGTAGAAGTTTAAAACTATTCTGAAACTTTCTAGTGTTTCTTCTAAAAAGATAACCACTGCTTTAGAAACGATGTACAAGCAAAGATCCACTACAAAGCACAAATGTTTGAAAGGAAAACTGAATGAGAAAGACATCCAAGCACAGTGCAGCAGTCGGTAGGCTCCAAGAGAGGGCAGTCTTTGACTGGTAATGATTCACAGAGGCATTTGTTGTTACACCTGTGTCCTGCCTCATCTCACCGTATGTACCTAAGGAGGGTGGCTTTTAAGTAACGTCATCCAACAAACAAACAAACAAACAAAAACCGAGTCGAGGTCAATATTACTTGCCTCTTGCAAGCTTGAAAGGGGAGGGAAATATTTCTCGTTTACAGAAAGGGACAGCATTCTGCATAAGGATTTCAGTTAAAGAGAAAGTGTATATTTAGGCACGTACCCTATCTTAAATAAATGATTAATTCTAGTCAACAGCACTTCGCCTTACTTCTGAGTTCACCAGCAGGAAGATTGGTGCGAGAGGCAATTGCTCAGATTCTGCAAGACCAAACACCAGTGCAGGAAGAAAAATGCAATTGATACAGCATTTCCCTGCAAAGACAAAAATCCTGCCAGATTATTTTAAAGTCGCTATCAAACAGCTTTTCTATGCAAGCCCTGCTGCCTGATTTCACTTTTGAGTAAAGGCTTTACTACTTAAATAAATGGGAGACATGAAACCATAGCAGAACAGTGTCTTCATTGCCTTTCTTCAGACTCTTATTAAGACCATCTGGAAAAGCCAACCTGAAATACAGTCTGATACTTCCCTTCTCACGAGTGAGCAGAGGCTTCCGGAAAGAAGCAAAGCTTTGCACTGAATCCCATTGCTTCCAGCCCCTTCATACTTTTAAGTCATCATTTCAATAGCGATACCAGCAGCCTATGCTCCAGCTGATTGATGGTAGTTACAAGGTCCTGGAGAAACCTCATATTTCATATGGTTACCCTCAGCATCCATAAGGCAATCTGGTTGGAAATAACTCCTATGAAACATTTATCTCTACTTAGACCAATGCTAAGTAAAAGTGCACAAAATAGCACCCAGAGCTCTGGGGAACAAGGGCAGTGGTAAAATATAACAGCAGTTGTCTGGGCAGAAACCCAGTCAGTCCTTTAGGAGCACTGGAGGAACAGCTGAAGAAATGAAGAATGACAGAATTATTGTGAGTGTGAATCTACTTTACACCACTTAACAGCATCCTGATTTATACACAATTGTCTTGACAGCACTTTTCTGTCCAGCTGCCCACAACCACACTTTGCCCCCACAAGTCATAGCTGCTGTTGCATTTCAGGTGGCAGAATGCATGTTTACTCCAATCACTGGAACTGAAAGAGTTCTGTTCCTTCAACCAGAATGACCCTCAGCATCTCAGAGATGCACCTCATCTCTGCTCATCAGCAAAGACAACTTCATGTGAATGCTTGGGAGAGATAACACTAACCCACATGATCTTCAGGATTTTCAGATATTTCTGCAATGTGAAGTTAGGTTTAAGACTGAGAATAAAAGCAGCACTGAAGCTTTTGGAACACAACAGCAATAATACAAAGGTAAAGATTTCTTAGCCAGAATGAGAAATTCTTAACTAAGATTTTAAGGCTGTAAAAGAGAGCAAACAAGGGGCCTATCTTCACATTTTACTTGCTGAAGTACTCAGAAAGGAAAGCCCATTCAAATAAAAAAAAACACCCTTCCAGCTTCTACTGCTGGCAAACAGAAAAAAATGGGGACACTCCACTCAAATTAAAGTTGCTACTCAGGGTGAATATCTGAGATTTTTTGTGTCTGTAATGAGACTTGACACCCATAGTATCACAACAGCTACTGTAGTAGTAACATCCAAATAAACAAGCCAGGACAGCTAACCCATCTACCACTGAGGTTAAAAAATGGTTTTCTCTGCTCTCAGTGAAAGTTATCCTCATTGCTACAGCCTGGTCTGTCTTCCTGGTCAGGTCCCTGGAAGAATGCACCAGTGCGGTTTCTCAGTTTTCTTCACAACAAGGAGCTACAAGTCTCAATAAATCAGTTTTTAAGAAACCAAATAATCATTTCAGTAACGCCTACCCAAATTGCGCATTTCAATTTGTTTAAAAGGAGGGCAATCCATAAAGTTCTAAGCAACTACAAGTTTATGAGCTGCAAATGAGAAGGAATTCACAAAGCGTGAAGCTTGTTAGCCTCACTGTAGTATTGCAATCACTGGGTGTTTTGTTTGTTTGTTTTGTTAGTTTTTTAAAGAGAAGCCAAGAATGCAACACTTCTACAAACACTGCATCCCTGGAGATAAGTTAAAGTTAAATTTTAAACATACAGCACAAAACAAAACAAGCCCTTGAACAACTACAGCACAGACAAAAGGGAAATTCAAGAACATTACAGTAACTTAGACCAAATAGGTCCTGGAAAATACAAATAAAGATATTTAAATGGTCTGGGATTTTAGGGATGAGGCTCCTTTAAAGAGCCCAAACCCACACCTGGGTGTGATTAACTACATCTCAGTTGCAAGCACTCACAATCAGCACTTACCTACCACTGCTAAGGGTAAGAACAAGCCACATGCATGCTCAATCAACTCCTTTTTACTCTCTAATTTTGTACATATAGGAGTCATTACCATAACTGTAACACAACAGGGAGCCCATCTCACACCACACAATCTACAGAGCAGTTTATAAGCTGAAGGCAACAGGCAGAAGCTTTATCTGTGCTAGACAAAAGTTTAACTGCAAATGGCATCAGAAGTCCTAAAGCCTCTCCATCCCGCCCCCCCAAAAGAAAACAACAACACAAAAAAATACCACCAAAAAGAAGCACGTGCAACATACCTGGAAGCAGGCTGCTCATCACTGCTAGCAAGAGTAGTAGTAACCTTTAAACTTAACTCAGAAGATTCAAAGCAGTAGTGCCCAGACCAGAGCAACAGCAACTCATAACACCACCAGCAGAAAGGCACCCAGCCCTGCCACAGACAATCCCCCCGCTCATCGAAATCAGGTGTGCAGGAGCCCTTCCACCTGACTTTGCTGACCCTGAGTGCCTGGGCAGGGAGTACACAGGTGCTGTCCGCCCACCACCGCAGCTCACTGAAAATAATTCATTTTTCTGCTGTCACGTCTCACTCCCTTCATAACCGATTTGCAAATCACTCTTCCAAAATTACAGGTCTCTTACCTGAGCAACACATCTTCCAGAATTCCATAGCTAGAAACAAGTAAAATTAAGAGCACGCCAAACCACCTACAGCACCCCTCCCCTCGTTACAAAGAGCATCAGACCACTCACCCTTATGTTCTACTGAGGATCTCCAAGGTTTCTTTGTCCCGCGTTGTTGGGGACGGCGGGTAACTCCTCCTCGCCCAGCACTCGCATTGCTCGCATCCTGCCCCTAAGAGCAGCCTTAACGCACCCCGGAGGGGCCGGGCTCGGGCGAGGCTCCTGGCGTCTTTCCCAGCGCCGTGCCTGTCCTGGTGTTGCCATCCCTGTTCTAGGGCTGTCCCAGACCAGCCAGAGTTCGAATGCCCGCTGGGGAGCTGCTCCGTAAACCCCTTCCTCCCTGCCTGCTGAGGCAACGTGAGCAAATGCAGGGCTCTCACAGTTCCTCTGCTCAGTGTCGCCGGTAACGTTCGGTGTAATGTGGTTTTAATTTTGCTCAGCGGAGGCAATGAAAGCGTGTAGTCTTACCGCTGTGTTTCCCTTCTTTCTGCTGAGGGTTATCTGACCTGCTGAACTTTGCCTCGTTGGCATTCAAAGCAGTGGATTGTTCGCAGGCATGATCTTCCCTGCTGCACTCCAAGTCTCCTTTTCCTCTCTTCTTTGCTTTCTGTTGCAATGAACGAAAAAGTTTGAACCAGGTTTATTAAGCTTATGTGTATGTAAGAGCTTTGTTTAAGCTTAAAACATAAATCTGAGGTCTGAAAGCACAAATTAACTGAGAGAGACCATGCAAAATTTTTGCAGCACAGCTGACCTTGCAGCCTTCTAAAACACCTCAGCTGTGATCTTTAAAAAAAACTGGCTAGAAAGCCCCCAAATGAGTTTGCTAAATATGAATTGGATTTGCTTATCCAGCAGGGTGATGCTTTCTCTTCTAGGTTTGCACTTTCATTTGATTCAGCCACCTTCATTAGAGGAGAATAAGAAAATTTAATGCTGTGAAGTGTAGTCTTGATTAATATGAGAATCAGCAAATGTTTTGTTTTGTTGAGTTAGCAACACCCAGCTCAGGTATCTATAAAACACCTGTTAGATGCCAAGCATGTAAATATGTATAATATCACACCATTGTTTTTAACCTTTTATTCATTAATTTGGAGCTCTTCACGGGGACCTCCGAAACCATAGACTAGTATTTTTCTATGACCCTTAAGGTTAAAAAAGCTTTCTTTGCCTACTGTGGTGTTCTTGAAACCACACCAGCTGTAAAATGCTGCCTACTTCTAGGCTTAAAATAGCTGAAACCACCAAGTTTCCTGTGGTTTCACATAAAACCATACACTTTGTGATGAGTGCCTACTGTTGTAAAACATGGGCAGGGGCATAGCCAGGCACTTCCCAGAAGCTCAGCCGCTATAATTTTTTTTCAGTGGCAATCTCTGTCTGTCTCTCATCCTTAAGGGAATATGTTTAAAAGTATAGAATGGGTGCTCACAAGGATGACGTATCAGAAAGAGGTCTACCAATTTTTTTCCTTAATTTTATGATCTTAGGCTATGTGTGTGTTTGGAGTATACACACGTGGTTTGGCAGCTGTCTCTCAAGGCTGCTCAGTATTATCTCACATGTGCAGTAAATAAAATGCAAAAGGCTATTCTTTCTGCCCCCCATGAAATAAGTCAGCATCTCCAAAATCTAGCATCAAGCAAGTATTAAAAATACTACTTCTGCACAGACTCTATGTTCTGGAACTTCCAGTGGATTCACATCTGTCTCTCCTGTCTGTTAGAACCCAAAAGTCTCCAACAATGAAAAGAGATATTCCAAGTAACTTGTCTCATTGCAAACCGTATTTATATTAAAGATTATCTACAGGAAGCATTTTCAGATCCAGCAGTAAGCAAAGGATGGGTTTCTCTCAGCCATCAGGGTGACATTCTTAAGATTTCAGTGAGGAAAATACAGATTTTCCTCACTGAAAAATACAGAAAAAGCAGCTTATTTACTGTTCTCACTCCCAGGTCATTTGGAATATAAAGTCTAATTACTGACTTCCACCGAAATCCTAAAGCAGATGAAGGGACCACTTCTACTAGAAGTAGAGGAACTGTAGCTTACTAAAGCCTTCATTCATTTATTTTTGACTGTTCTAGTTGTCTAAATCTGTATATGCTGGTGATACCTATAGCAAGCAACCTCACTTTACTTGGTCAAATTTCCTTTTAGGGAGATTGTGTCATAGCACATGTGACTGTGCTCATCGCAGACTTCTGTGGATTTTTGCCTAAATGTCAATTGGACATTCCTTGTAACCCTTCACAGCTTAAGAAATATAGAAGCTGTGGAAGTGCAAGAAGACCCTGTGCTCTACGCTTTTCCTGCACTGTCAGGAAAATACTCAGTCACTAAATGTGGATGTGAAATATGCTTTTCTCTACTGCCTTGATGCAGACAGCCTTATATGCAGCAGTGGCTTTGTGAAAACGTTGCGTCAGCAACACCCAAGAAATACAACACTGACTGATGTCAAACTCATCACAGATAGAGACCTGAGTAAGGAAGCCTACATCCCTTTCATCATTTTAAACCCTGACCTGAGTGTTTGGTTTATTTTTTGTAACCTACCTGATTATCGAGTACTCTTCAGGTTATTGTCCTGTTTACAGCACAGTGCAAAGAGAAGGGAGACTGAGACAAAAACTATTTCAATGAAACAGTCAGGCATGTGTATGAGGATATGTGGATGAATTATGTTCCAACATCACTGGAAGATCATGACACTGTAGTTACTTGAACCTGACATACCATATGGTAGGTGACTATTTTTTGTTAGAAATATCAATTTACAATATCAGTGTACAATTGAAGTAGCACTGAAAAATCATCTCACTAGACAGAATGCCTTTTTATTGGGGCTATATTTGATACCTTTTCTTACCACTGTGGAGACTTCAGAAATCATGACACCTGAGTCACAAATAAAGTATGTGTTTGCCAGTACTTGCTGGTTTATTGCTGATTGAAGCTGTGTGTAAGTATAGAGAGTGCCACGGCACAGAGGGAACATGTCTATCCCAGAAGCAGAGATAGCAATGAACTTATAGCAATATTCAGTTATCCTGAGTACTTTTCCACAACTAATGAATTAGCTCTGAAACTTCTGCACAAAAATACATATACAGGTAGACGGATAAACCCAAGCCACTCTGTTAATCCAAGGAGGAGAGGAAAAAAAATAAAACATGTCCAAAGGAGACTTCTTATTTTATTTGTAAAGACAATGTGATGTCAAATCATGTCATCCATTTCCAGTTTTCTTCAGGAAGTCAGTTAGTTTTGTGTAACTATTTGTTGGTGTGGATAAAAAAAAAACAGTAAGATCAGGGGCAGAGAAATGAACAATATTCTATCTCTTTTAAGAGCACATTTGTCCTAGATTTTTAATCCTGGAAAATCCCTTTGAGAATGAGAAAGAGGACAATAGCAAAAGAGAACTGGTGATGGTTTTGGAAAAAGTAAAAGACCAGGTCTTTTACTAAGTAAATAATAAATATAAAGGTGAAGCAGTATAAGAAAAACAAAACACTTTGGTTTGGAGGCAGGAGCCGGTCTTGGAGTCCTTGTCTAAACTGTGAAAAGAGAAGATAGACATCATGTTACATGACTGTGTTCCACTCACAACCAATCCACGTGCTTCCCTGAGCACACCTCATCCACTGGCATATTTAGTTCATAAGGAATAATTGTGAGGTTAGGCAGCATGTGAACTGAGACCAAATCAGTTATTTTGTTAAATAACAGAAGTCCCATTCCCTCCCATATCCATAACACAGACTAAGTTTTCTCTCTGAAATAAATGTTAAGTGACCTCACTTACAGAAAGAGTGTGCAAGTACATAGAGTAATTCATGAGAGGTAAGTGCACACTCATGGTAAGACTTTTTGCATCCATCTCTATATTTGTGGAATAACTATAGCCAGTGCTTCATTGCTGCATGGTCATTTTCAAACATTTACGCAGGCTCATGGGCAAAATTTCAGGCCTTTACTAAAAAGAATCCAATACCTGAGATGTTTAGTCAGATGCATGTAATCTAACCAAGTGTTTTTCTCTTAATTGACACTTGAAAACTTCAAGGATTCTATGGAGCTTACCAGAATGCCATTCTTGCACATGATCTGAGATATGTACAACACAGTGCTATGAATGCTGCATAAAACATCCTTTTATTTTGTCCTGGTTTAAAGCACAGAACATGCAAGTGAAGTCAAATATATAAGTACCTCTAAAATATGTGTGATTTAAATTCAGATACTCTGTTTATTCCCTAACTCAATCCAATGACAATTGGAGGCTGATCAGGGAAAGTTCTGAAAACCAGGTTTTCTAGTTGTCCTGTTGGCTAAACTGCCGAGTGGCCTCTTAGGAACTGGGCTGCTGTTGACAACACGCTAAATATTGAACATATGATAACCTCAGCTACTTCTATAAAAAGCAGTCTTGCAAAACTGATTAGTTGTATTGTTTTGATAGATTATTTCATCCATGCATTTACTCATGCATTTCCTATCTGAATCAGCCAAATGTAACTCAGGAAATTGCTCCTACTGTAGAGGCAGGAAACTTCTGCACTGACTAGTATGGCATTCAGATCAAGTCTTCTGTCATTCAAGGGGAAAGAGTAAGAAAAAAACGTGTTTGTGGATCCTTACCTCATAACTTAATTTGTGAGTTATCTGTTCTTACATTTTATTGCAGTGAATGTTCTATGGAGAAGAATCCATCTCCTTAGTACATGTACAAGCTTTAAGGATCATCTTCTGAAGTCTAACTTTAAAAGAAGTCACAGCACTACTCAATACACAAAAGAATAAAATTTTACAAAGTACTTCACACAGGAATTGAATGTTTCAATCTGTACTGGGTTCAACCCTCTCTTTTTCCTACTCACTGCTCTTTTCTCTACCTGTTGATGAATCCGGGCCATTCTCTCTTCATGAAGCCTTTGTTTGTCACTATCCTCATGTTCATATTTCTGTTCAGCCAGCATAAAATTGCACCACATCCTCTGAAGTTCAATGTCAGCAGCAGTGACCTGCATGTAGCAAAGCTCTTTCTGTTCTTCCACACTGGTGGATACTTCAGACTGCAAAGTACTTGCTCTTCCCATCACATCCAAGTGTGCCATATGACTCCTAGCATCCATGTTCTCAGTTGTATTGTCTGAGATGAAATATGATGTTGGTATGTCTCTCATGGCACCCTGCTAGAAATCGGAGAGTTGTTAAATTCATTTTCAAGCTGATAGGATTCATCTTAGATTCATCTAAGTCTATCTGAGTATTTGTTCAAGCGATTATTCATACTTTAATGTAATGATTCACTAGTTCTCTAATAACCATCATTTCTCTGATTTCCATCATTTCTAAATTTAATCATTAGATTTTAAAAAGAAATCTTACACTGTTACATCTTACAAATGTTGTCTGACAAAACATGAAAAATCCCCCCGTCAAAATTTTCTGATTTGAATATTTACAGAATTTTCAAAAAATATTTAATTAGGGTCTTTCTGGCTACACTACAACCTTTTTAACCAAGTAGAAAGATCTCACAACTTGTGAATTTGATATAATGCACAAAAATCTGAGTTACTGGAGTTCTTTTTCTCTCAGAAGAAACTCAAATTTCTCGTGATCCACACACTCCTTTGCAGGCTGATCTACACCCTCCACGATTTGTTGTACTTTTACATCTGGAAGAACTCTATTTTCCACATACCATCTTCACTTGTTGCTGCTTCTTGTGCCTCTTGTTACCATTATTCTGGGTTTCCTGTAATGTAAGCTCAATATCTTTCACTAGTTTGTCCATAGCTGTTTGGAATGAATGTCTCAATTCCTCTAGATCGCTGAGTTCTTTCAAATCACCTCACATTTGCTGGTCTTCAGCAAACAGAGATCCTTTCTGAATGTGAGAGACTTCTACTGACATCAGAGTGTCTCCAGGGATGTTCTGGAACAGAATGGGAATACGTATGAAGCAGATCACATGTATCTAACAAAGTGACTCCGAGTTGAATTTAGGAACATACCCTTAGGGCATATGTTTAGGGATGATATATAAAAGTGTCAAGAAGCCTAACTTGATTTTTTTTTTGTCTAGAAGTGCATGAAAAATCACTGTATGTAGTGATGCAAATACATCTTCTGGGAATCTCACTAGTCTTTTTAACATTTGTCAGTAATTCCCTTCAAAGTACTACTCAACTTATGGAAAATCATAGAATCACAGAATCATAGGGGTTGGAAGGGACCTCCAGACATCATTGAGTCCAAACCCCTGCCAAAGCAGGTTCCCTACACCAGGTCGCACAAGTAGGTGTCCAGGCAGGTCTTGAACATCTCCAGAGAAGGAGACTCCATCACCTCCCTGGGCAGCCTGTTCCAGTGCTCCGTCACCTCACTGTAAAGAAGTTCTTGCGCACATTTGTGCAGAACTTCCTATGCTGCAGTTTCTGGCCGTTTCCCCTTGTCCTGTCTCCACACACTGCTGAAAACAGTCTGGCCTCGCCACTCTGCCCCCCACACCTTAGATATTTATAGATCTGGATCAGGTCCCCTCTCAGTCTTCTTTTCTTAAGACTAAACAGACCCAGTTCACTCAGCCTTTCTTCATAGATGATTCATTTTCTTCAAAATGAAACGTGGCTGAGAAATCTACCCTAATGTAGAGGGATTCTTACAGTTTTCTGCATAGGCAAAATCACAACTTGTAGGGTTACAGCAAGTTGTTAGCTGGAAGACAATACTGTCCTTTTAATTAACTGGAGCTAGGCAGACAATTCAGCATGCAAACTAAGAATTCAGCTTCTTGTTTCCAGTCTCATGGTATTTGCTGCACTTTATAAGACGGATACAAAGCATAAATTTCATATTTGATAAAAGACTAAGCCAAGTAAGGCAATTAATTTGTTACTGAATTTGAGGAAGAGGAACAAAAGTGGAAGAAAGTAGACAAGCTGAGTATCATGGGAAATTGATTTCCAAAGACAAGCAACAGGTTAACACAAGACAACTACCTTCTCTTCACAGGATTTCTGTATAGAAAACTTGAATCTAGCTGTCCCAGTTCAAAGGACACTATGATTGCAGGAGATCCTGTTCTTGGCTAACTTCATGACAGCCCTGTTGCCATAACAAACTCAGGGGTTCTGTTGGCAAGCTCACACACTGTAACAATCCTTGTTCTAATATCAAGGCAGCATCCAGACTCTTAAAGGGGACTGGGCATAACTCCTTCTTTGTCACAGTCCATTCTATGCCACTATGTTTTCTTCATTATAAATACATCTCTGTGTCACAGTGAAGCTTTCTGCCAGAATCTGTGGACTCCCAGAATGTTTCTATGCCCGTTCTGACTAGTTCCTTCTGGGAAGCAGGTTTATTGGAACAGGCTGGATGGCACTGCAAAATTCAAGGGGCTGTGTGCTAGTGAGATCCTCAGTCTGCTCCATGAGGTGCTGGGTACAACATGGAATATTTGAAATGTTTCTGCACCAATGTATGCAGCAAGATGAACATACAAGAGGAACTAAAAGCCTTGTCTCAATCCCACAACTACAACATCACTGCAGGAAGCAAAACCTGGTTGCAAGAGCAGCCATGCATGAGGTTGGGGCTGAGCTGTGTGGAGCTTGCAGCTGGCTGTGACATGGTTGAGAGGCTGTGGGTAAGGATTAAGGAACAAGGAAAGAAAGTGGATGTCAATGAGAGAGTCTGCTATAGGCCACCCAGACAGGATGGATTACTCTTTAAGGAATTAAGGGACAACTCTAGAATAGCCATTCCTGTCCTTAATGGGTGTCTTCAAGTATTTTTTCTGGGTAGCACCAGCTGTTGTCTACATATTTTAGAAGGAACAAATAGTATGCTAGAAAAAAAGAAAAAAAATCAGTTTTGTTGAAATATCAGCAAAAATTCCTTGGAGAGTACCATTAAAGCTGAAATTCTTTGGAAAGTACCAATAAAGCTGAATCACAGCAGACAGGTAGAAACTGAAACAAAAAAATCACTAACCCATATATAGAAATAAAATAATAATACATTAAAAAAAAAAAACAACAAGTACAGCTTGCCAAATAATTTTATTATTCACTCTTTTTAAACTTCAGACTGTTTTAAAACTCAACAACAAATAAAACAAGGAAAAAAAATACAACCAAACACAGGTGTCTCTTTGTTAGGCAGAGAACACACACATTATTTTAATCAGCTCATCAGCACCACCCTGCAAGGTTATGCACTTACAGCACCTGTTTCCTCTGAACATGAGCTTACAGAATGAGGATATGGAGTCTCACTGCAGCTGGGAGTATGGAGAGGAACAACTGAATTCTGGTACTTGCTGATGAGGAGGGTGCTGAAACTGGGAACAAAATACAGCTCTCTTTTGGGTCTAAGGAAAATGTAAAATTCCTTGAATTATGAAGTAGTTCCCCTTTATATAATACAAGTTTCTACATCCCAAGGCTAAGAAGCAGGTACTATGGCTGATGTAATCTGGGTTTATGTGCTGTTGTTACAAAAGGGAGTCTTTTTCCCACTTGTCACTTTCATCTATTTCAGGGAAGAGTTACTCACTAGGAATTTGCAGAGCTGTGTTAAAAACTAGATAAGAAATTTACCAAAGATTATTTGGGTCCCAGATCCTTAAAGGTACAAAGCATCTAGCAACTGTTCCCCTGTAATTTTAAAAGTCTGCATAAGCAACATACATGTTATGAACTTCAGGCTGGGTTAAATAAATACTGAGAGGGTGACTGAATATTCAGGTATGGAAATTAACTGGAGCTGTGATACAATGAAAAATACTTCTGCTCGAATTATGAAAGACAACAAAAAACTTTACAAAGATCAGCCTTCAAAGCAATTTAGATCGTGCTGTTTAGATGGATAACAGCTGTCCTGAAAAACAGGAATGGACAAATGTCATTATTGTGTAATAATGAACTGGAAACAGTGTAGAGACTTATTTAGAATTCACTATTCTGAGATACTGACATTTGAAGATGAGAGGTAATGGTAATATGAAGATAAATGGATGAGATGCAGAATCTGGTATCATCCAGAGCAAAAAATTGGAGGAATATAGAGTATCCTACCAGCAAATCAGATCCAATATTTAAAGTGATCTAGAAAAGTTGTGCACTGACTCTATCTAAGCTAAAATATATTTATGAAGCGAATGGAAGAGAGTGGAAGAGAGAACAGAGAAGTCAAAATAAGCAGTGAAAACATGAAAAGAAGATGGAAGATGTGGATCAATGATAATTACTAAGAAGGACAACACAAAATGTGCCAAGCAGCAAAGCAGAAGCATCTCCTGAGACGCAGTTTGGAAATATATAAAAGAACGTCAGCTGATGCGGGGGGATTTGGCAAGTGAGGATGGAGTGGAAGACCTCTAATTGCCAGAAGCCAGGCTTTCATCACATGAAACCGATTTTTCTGGATTTGAACTTGAGAAAGCTGGGGAAAGTAGAAGAGCCATTAACATCAATTCCCACACACTAGCAATTCCCAAAGTGGCCTGAACAGGATTTGTTGGAGGTTCTGTTTTTATTTTTTGTTTTCCTCTAATAATTGTCTCTTCTAAACTTTGTCGATGCAGGTGTAATTCTAGTCATGAAAGAAACAGAGTTCAGAGAAGCTACAGATTGTGGATGCACATAGGAGAGGCAATAGCACAGATCTATGAGTAATAATCTAGCTCTGACTGCAACAGCCTATGAAACACATCTTGGAGATGAAAAAGGAAGTCTAAATACTCCATTTGAAAGAAAAATCAGATAACTTTCCTGTGAATGCTGAGTAATGTGAAATATCACTGTGAGGATGAAAAATCCAGGTAGGAATGTACGAAAGCATCCCTGACCTTGAACTTTAACCCAAAGCCTAAGAAACTTAACAGATCTTTATCTGAACAGTACTTTTCAGAAAAATTATTCCAGATCCTGAAGGCAACACCTGGATAGCCTGAATATTTTGTGATTTGGTAAGAAGTGCACAAAGTACAGCATGTAAATGCAAACAGGACCTCCCTGGATACAATCATTACTGAAAATTCTGTGCAAGAGGAAAAGCATTAGGCTTTGCAGCTCTGACAATCAAGTTCAGGCTCTATCAGTAGTGAGATCTGGCAACATTGGTAGTGTAAGATACTTTTCTCCTAAGGAAAAGAAAAACTGAGAAGATTAATGTAAATCTAGTGATAGATCACACTTCCCAGCTATGCTGACAGCTATGCTGGTGGAGGACTTCATAAAATAAATGGATGACAGTACCGTTCAATTTTCATTGGGAACAACTGAAAGCACCTTTATTGTAAAGGAAATGGATTTGGAACATTCAAATTGAGTGAATGAAATTGTAGCTTTTTACAAATATCATGCTTTATCATTCTGACAATGTGTGTCCCAGAGAAATAGTAAGTGTTAGTAAATACAGAGAAATACTATCTAAATTTCTAATAGCAGGGAAATGCTTTTGTTTACTACGTTACCTGGGAAGCAAAAACTGGAAAATAAAAACAGTAGGTTTTAAGATTCTCAATTGTTACTAACCCAGTGTTTACAGTAATGTATCTGTGTATTACCAGAGCTCTATGTGGTTCCAAGACATATAAAAATCATGGTTAGATGGAAATAGCAAGTGGACCATAAAAGATCCTAGTTAGTAGACATTGGGGGGAGGGGGGAAAAATTATAAGACTCTGATTTTACCATTCAGAGTAGCACAAAAGGAATCTGGTCTCTTTTCTTGGCTCTATGTCTAAATCTCTTTGACATGAGTCATGCTGAATTGTTAGAGAATTTTCCTCCCTCCATGTGTTTTTATTTTTTGGTACTCAGACGTTGCTAGCTAACTACATTAGCTACAATTAACTACATAATAGCTTTTTTTAAAAAAATGGAGCTGAATACAAACACACACCAGAGGTTTCACTCTGCTCAG